TTTTTTTTATTTTTAAATGAGTGGTTGAAAAAGAAGGATAAATTTTCGATTTACGTGTAACACTATTTTATAAAAGATTATGTGGTTGAAAATATGAAAGAGAAAAATAGAATGTAATGTAACAGGATTTAATGAGGCCAAACAGGGGGTAAAATGGAAAGGGAATTGAATATGAAGTGAAGCCCCATACCCTTAAAATTTTGCTTTAAAACTAGAATCACTTGTTGAGTACTTATAGTACAAGTCATTTCCAATGGAGGAGATGCAAAGAGAACATTACAAGGAGCACATGCTGAGGCTTACAATAGAATTTTATTCAGAGAGCACAGGGGATGGTGCAGCTCTGAATTGTGCACAGAGAGAGAGAGAGAGAGAGAGAGATCAGTTTGTCTCTTGGTTTATAAGTTACAATTACATGTTTTGCCACGTCAACTTCAGTAACAAATCTGTCAAATCTATTCTGTACTTGTGGCCTTTTTGTGTATCAATGCGAGTTGAAAGAGGTCCAGTAAATGTTAGTATAAGATTCCAATAATTTGTTGCAGAAACAAATTGGGTCAAGTAAGGTTTTGGGAATCGGTGGCAAAATGTAGAATAATGCTATCTAAATTAGTGGTGCTAAAACATTAGTTTAGATGACGCTTGATATGTTCAATTAAATAATGTGATATTTTTATTTAAGTAATTCTATCATTTAAAATCATGTAGTTACTAGTGCTTGACACTGATAGTGCTAAATAATATTACTCTAAATTGTAAGCCGATATTTTTAAATCTAGCAAAACTCGTTATCGTTTTCATTTTGTTGAGATTTACCCATGCATGATTGTGAAGGGATGCTCTTTTAGTTGGAAACTTTTCTTTACAAAATAAAATTAAGAACATACTTAAAGGAAAAAAAATTGTCGAAGAGGATGTGACTGAAGATTGGTTGTACCTTTTTATGTAAATAAAAATCAAAATAATAATGGTTACCATTTATATAGTTATTATTACACTTTTACCTTCTTGTATTATAATTAAACCCCATTCGAATAAACGCTAATTATCAAGTCATAATTAAACGGATTAAAAATTTGAACAAGGCAAAATAAACACACCAAAAAGGAACTAATATATCATTAGTACTAAGCAAATTATGCCAACGTTTCATACAATATTAGTACAATGTAGCCTACGGATTTATTAATTTAGAAGCCTTAACCTTATCAATTAAACTCAAAAAATATAAAATAATTTTTCTTGTTAATTTACAAATATATATGTGATCACTAGTAAAATTTTGAGGTTAAAATAAATAAATAAATAGTTTGCCCTTGTTGTTTGTCCAACTTAATCTATTTAGCTTTATATGCTTGAAATTTCTTACGTTCTCAATTTTACTTTTACGATTATTAGTACTTTTATTAATTATTTTTCAATTTGATAGAGTTAAATATAATTATACGTGTACTCATGAAATAATTATTCACATTTTGTGCGAATTGTTTATGTGTTCAGGCTTTTAACAATTAGAGAGATCATGTCATTTGTACATCTAAGATCATCTCACTACAACAAACATGGCCATTCACAACACTAAAAAAGCAACATTCATTAATTGAGTGTTGTTAAATGGGCCTATCGAAACATTCTAATAAGTAAATGTTGCCATTGGATAATATAATTAAGCTTTGGTAACAATTTTAAATGAATGTTACTAATGTCACATTTCGAAACGTTCCACAAAAGTTGTGAAAAGTTTAATTTTTTATAATGTTTGTGAAATGTTGTTATAATCTAGCTCTATAGCAACATTCAATGCTTATTGCTGAAACTCCTTAATATGTAGCCTCTTGCAGGATTCATTTTCTGTAGCAAAAAATCTCATTTTTTACAACTTTCGTTAAATGTTGAGTGGAGTTTAAGGCATGTGGTACGCTATATTGGGTTTTATTCCTTGTAGAGTCTAGTAAACCAAACTTCTACTGACTGAATATCTAAGCTATCGGGATGTAAAGGTATTAAACTAGGTGATTTTAGCCTTTTGGTGCTCGTCCATCTTGGTAACAACATTTCTTTGAATGTATATATGTTATACTTGCTCAATTGTCATATGATCCAACAGTCAAGCTCGAAAATGGCTAGTCCGAAATGAGACCCGTTGATAATCGAAATCAAGCAAATGACGCGATCGAGGGCAAAGCGAGTGAAACAAGCAATGGGGTTGTTCGTTCAAGCAATTATTGATGGAACGATGTTGGGGATGCAAAACAAGGAAACTTTTTTGTTCGGGTCTAGAGTTGAAGTGATTTGGATCAACGTGATACAAGTGGATGAAGTTGGAGATGGGACAAAGAACTATACGACCGCATAGTTCTACATAGCATGCGATCACATGCACCCTTGCAGCGAATCCAGAGACAGTTCAAGTTTCTTTTATGCGATTGCATAGAATTACTCTATGCGACCGCATAGAACAAAAGTCCGTCAGAATATTTCATTTTGCGAAACTTTCCATATCACACGTTAAAATTTTAGTTTTGGTCAAACTCTTGTATTCTTACACGATTAAATTCCCTTTTTTCATAGATTTTAGGTTTTAGAAGTTTAGTATAAATATGCTATTTTATTTCATTGTAAGACAGATTCCATAATCAATACAATTTGAGAGTTTTCTTGAGAGGATTTTGTGATTTTCTTCCCATTGTTCTTCATTGAACAACTTAGAACTTATCAAGAATTGCTTTCTTGTGGCGTTCTACAATCTGGGTGCAGATCTTAATTATGTAATCAAGGGTCTTTCAAGCTTGGATCTTGCTGGGTTTTTAGGTTCATTGATTCAGGTTCAAACTCTCAAACCTTTTAATTGGTTTTTCTAGGGTTCTAATAATCTAGTTGTAGGTTTCATAGTCAACGCTGCTATGGGGTTCGCATCAGTTGGTATCAGAGCACATATTCCAAATTAACAGGTTATGTCCTTGAGTTTTCTTTATTGAGTCTTTGTTCTTTTTTTTCCGCGTTTTGTTATTTCCTATTCTAGTGTTCTTCATTGATCGAGTTTTTTAATCCTTCAAATTATTGTCAAATTTTGTCAAATTGTTTTAGACCTATTCTAACATCCAAAACTACCTTGTTTAATTTGTTGGTAGTTTAATTCATTGTTTTTATTCAAAAAAAGAGAAGTTACTGTTCACGTACTGTTCAAAGAGTAAAAAAAAAAAAAAGAAGCCAAAAATGTAATTTTTACTGTTATTTTTATTGTCAATTTACTACCAACAATCTATTTATTCTAAATTGTTGTCGAGTCACATTAGTTCTTTCATTCAATCAAAGTCGGGTCAATTTTATTAAAAATTCTTTGAGTCCTTTTATTTTACAATCTTTGATTCACATTCGGTTGGGAATTCTACAAGTTAATATTCTTCCAGTTCACTTTGTTCTTTGAAGTGCTTGGAAGAAAGCACTGAGTGATCAAAGGCAGAGCGGTGAGATTAATAGAGGAAAAAGTTCATATTGTATGATTTTTCGTGTCTGAACGAGAAGATTCCAATTCAAGCCAACACGACAATCATAACAGTGTGTTGAATGATTTGATATAGTGGTTGGAAAATGTGTTTGGGGATGTGAGAGATAGGTTGGATAAACAGGAAGCTTGGAGGGCAAGACGGGAGCCTAGGAGGGAAAGGCGAGAGGAATAAGACTACGGTAGTAATGTAGATGAGGATGAATTTAATAGTGTCGAAATGGGACGGATGAGGAATAGAGACGATAGGTTCGACAGACGGGGTAGGAATAATCACGGGATGAGATGGATGGAAACATGGGTAATATCAAAATGACTATTCCATAATTTAAAGATAGAAGTGACTCGGAGGCATATTTAGAGTGGGAGAGAAAGGTTGAATTGATTTTCAGATGGTATAACTACTTGGAATAGAAAAAGAAGAAGTTGGCAGTTCTAGAATTCATTGACTATGCAATAACCTGGTGGGATCAAGTGGTTACTTCACAACGTCGGTGTGAGGGAAGACCAATTAGTACTTAGGATAATTTGAAGATATTAATGAGAAAAGGATTTGTTCCTAGTCACTATTATAGGGAGATTCATGAAAAATTGCAAAGCTTGTATCAAGGGTTGAAGAGCATGGAAGATTATCACAAGGAAATAGAGAACTCATGATTAGGGTGAAAGTAGTGGAGGATCGGGAAGCTACTTTAGCACGGTTCTTGTATGGGTTAAATAGGAAAATTGCTAATGTAGTGGAGTTGCAGTATTATGTGGAGTTAGAAGATATGTTGCATATGGCCATGAAGGTGGAGAGACAATTGAAGAGGAAGGGGACAGCTAGGCAATATTAGGTACTTAGAGTTCTAATTCATCTTGGAAACCGAGGTGAGATAATAACAAGGGTGATAGGGCTGTACCTAAAAGAAGGAATGATTAGCAAAAGGAAAAAGATGAAGGTGCTAGCAAAACAATACCAAAATCGGAGTCACAACCATCAAGGAGTCGAGTCATCAAGTGTTTTAGATGCCTAGGGTTGGGGCACATCGCTTCTCAATGCCCAAACAAAAGGGCAATAGTGTTGCGAGACAATGGAGAAGTGGTGAGCGATAGTGAAGGTGAATATGATAACATGCCGGCGTTGGAGAAGGTTAGTGAAGAAAAAAGTTTGAAGGTGTTGTTAGGGATCTTTTAGTTGCAAGACGATCTCTTACTACACACATTAAGGTGGTGACTCGGAGTTGCAATGGGAGAACATCTTCTATACTCGATGCCATGTCAACGATATGGTATGTAGTATAATTATTGATGGTGGTAGTTACACAAAAGTTACTAGCGTAGCCTTATAGAGAAGTTAAATTTAACATTGTTGAGACACCCTAGGCCATATAAATTGCAATGGTTAAACGAAAGTGGAGAAGTTAGGGTTAATAGAAGGGTGCTAGTTAATCTCTCAATTAGAAGTTACAGAGATGAGGTAGTGTGTGATGTAGTACCAATACAAGGGGGACATATTTTGTTGGAGAGACATTGGCAATATGATAGGAAAGCTATGCATGATAGGTATAAGAATCACTACAATTTCGTTAAAGATGAGGAGGACCATCACACTTGTGCCATTAGCACCGGTGCAAGTATATGAAGACCAAATCAAGTTGAGGAATAAGGAAGAGAGAAGAGCAAAAGAGCTAGAGGAGAGGAGAGAAAACAGTGAGCCAAAGAAAAAGAAAGGAAACAGTGAGGTCGTGAATAAGAGAGAAAATGGTAAGGTGGCTACTAGAGAGAAGAGAGTGCAACCACAAAAGAGAAAAAAATAGGAGTCTTCAAAGAGAAAAGAAAAATCACGAGCGAATTTCTTTGCAAAAGGAAGCGAATTGAGGAGAGCGGTAGTTGAGAGAAAAGAAATGATCTTGTTCTTGTATAAAGAATCACTCCTCAATTTTGAGAAAACTAACGCACCCCTCCTTAGTTTGGCAAAGTCTTTATTGCAAGAATTCAAAAATATATTCCTGAATGACATGTCTAGTGGGTTGCCACACATTCGAGGCATAGAACATCAGATTGACTTCATAACTAGAGCTGTTATTCCAAATCGACCAGCTTAACGAAACAATTTCGAGGAGACAAAGGAACTTCAAAGGTAGGTAGAGGAGTTGAAGGAGTTGATGAGCAAGGGTTATGTAAGGGAGAGCATGAGTCCATGTGCCGTACCAGTGTTGCTTGTGTCAAAAAAAGATAGGTCAGTCCGTAGATTGCAGAGCTATCAATAACATAATGGTAAAGTATCATTACCCAATCTCTAGGTTAGATGACATGTTGGATGAATTGCATGGTGCATGTATCTTTAGCAAAATTGATCTTAAGAATGGGTACCATCAAATTCATATAAGGGAAGGTGATGAGTGGAAAACTGCATTCAAAACTAAATATGGTTTCTATGAATGGTTGGTTATGCCGTCCGGACTCACTAATGTACTGAGTACTTTTATGCATATGATGAATCATGTTTTGCGTGCTTATATAGGAAAATTTGTTGTGGTTTATTTTGATGATATTTTAATTTATAGCAAAAACCTTAATGAACATGTGGAACACTTGAGATGTGTGCTTGTAATTTTAAGGAAAGAACAACAGTATGCTAATTTAAAAAAATGCACGTTTTGTATGGAAAATATTGTCTTTCTAGGTTTTGTGGCTAGTGCTAACGGGGTAGAAGTAGATGAAGAAAAGATTAAAGCTATTAAAGATTGGCCTACACCTAAAACTAATGGAGGTTAGGACTTTTCACAGTTTGGCTAGTTGTTATGGGCGGATTGTAAAAGATTTTAGCATAATCACTGCACCCCTTACTGAAGTCGTTAAGAAAAGTGTGGATTTTCGTTGGGGCGATGAACATGAGCATGCATTTAATACTATGAAGGATAAATTGTGTAAAGCACATGTTTTAGCGTTACCTAATTTTAACAAAACTTTCGAGATTGAGTGTGATGCATCAGGAATAGGTATTGGAGTAGTTTTAATGTAGGAGAGGAGACCGATAGCCTATTTTAGTGAGAAGCTGAGTGAGGCTTCACTAAACTACGCAACATAAGACAAAGAGTTATACTCTCTTGTTCGGGCGTTGGAGACATGGCAGCACTACTTGTGGCCGAAAGAGTTTGTTATTCACACCGATCATGAATCATTGAAGCACTTGCGAGGTCAAGAAAAGTTGAACAAGAGGCATGCTAGATGAATGGGATTCATTGAAACATTTCCCTATGTCATCAAGTACAAACAAGGTAAAGAAAATGTAGTGGTAGATGCGTTATCTCGGAGGTATGCCTTGAGAACTTCATTAAGTGCTAGATTACTTGGTTTTGAACATATTAATGACAGGTATGAAATTGATTTAGATTTTTCCGATTTTTATAAATCATGTGACAAAGGGACAATTGATAAGTTCTTTAAACATGAGGGTTATTTGTTTCGAGAAAATAGGTTATGTGTTCCAAATTGTTCAACGTGAGAGTTATTGGTGACAGAAGCATAGAGTAAAACAGATAAAAAATTTGAGACTATGATCACTCAAGTAATTGAGAAAAACAAGAAAATGAAAAATTATATATCTAAATTGACCAATGCCTTAGTTGTAGGAGAACATGAAAAATTTTCAGCTCAAGCTCAATCAAATCCTAAGGGACAACACATGGCACAAGCCTCAGATTCGGGAAAAAACAATCTTAAGGAAGTGAGTGCCATTACCACTCGATCTGGAGAGGTTACAGAACCAATTCCCAAACCTAGGAAAAATGAAAAGGAGTCTAGTGAGTCTGAAGAAAGTAGCCCTAGTGATGAGGTAGGAGGAAAACCATCTAGAATCCCCTTTTCTCAAGCTCTTAACCTCATCCCGAAATCTATCAATCAACATAGTGAAGTCCTAGAACATCTTAGGCAAGTAAAAAATCAATTTACCTCTTTTGCATGTGATTTCACAGGTTCCTACATATTCTAAAGTCCTTAAAGACTTGTGCACTATGAAAATGAGACATAATGTTAAGAAAACTGCTTTCTTGACTGAACAAGTGAGGCTATGATAGAACAATGGATCCCACTGAAATATAAGGACCCTGGAAGTCCTACTATTTCTTGCATCATCGGGAACCATGGGTTTGCACAAGCTCTTCTTGATTTAGGAGCTAGTGTCAATCTCATGCCCTATGCGATATAATATTTTTAGGTCTAGGTAAGATAGAATCCACTTTTGTGGTTCTACAATTAGCTGATCGGTCCACTATAAGTCCTGGGAGAGTAGTTGAAGATGTCTTAGTTCAAATTGATAGATTTTACTACCCCGTTGATTTCTTAGTTTTGGATCTAAAGGTTGATGTAAATGTTAATTCTAAAATTCCTATCATTCTTGGTAGACATTTTCTTGCCACAGCTAACGCTCTTATAAGTTGCAAAAACAATCTAATGAAATTATCTTTCAAGAATTTGACTTTAGAAGTCAATATTTTTCACATCACTAAGCAACCAACGGAAAATGATGAGTGTCATCACACATGATTGAGGCACTCACTTAGGAGGAGGCACCTGCAACTACTAATTCTGACCCCTTGAACTTTTTTCTTTTAAATTCTGCAATTCTACCAAATCTCAATAATGAAGAGTATGCTAATGTCTGTGTCGTTTGAACATTCTAAATGAGCATAAATCTACATTAGGCTAGACCATAGATGATATTAAGGATATTAGTCCTTTAATTTGCTCACATAGAATTCACCCGAGGAAGGAACTACCCCTAGAAGAGACCCACAATGTAGGCTAAACCCCACGATGAAAGAAGTTGTGAAAAAAGAGGTGCTAAAACTATCAGATGCAGATATCATTTACCCGATTGCTGACAGTAAATGGATCAGTCCTACACAAGTAGTCCCTAAAAAGTCAAGTGTCATTGTGGTGAAAAAGGAAATAGGTGAAATGGTCCCACAAAAATAGTGATTGGATGGCGCATGTGCATTGATTATAGGAAGTTGAATGCTTCCACCTACAAGGACCACTTTCTCCTCCACTTTTTAGACCAAATTCTGGAGCCTGTGGTTGGCCATCCCTTTTACTATTTTCTGGACGGCTACTCTGGTTACTATCAAATTGAAATAACCTTAGAAGACCAGTAAAAGAACACATTTACTTGTCCCTTTGGTACCTATGCATTTCGTAGGATGCAATTTAAACTTTGTAATGCCCTACTACATTTCAAAGATGCATGACAAGCATATTTAGTGACATGATAGAAAATTGTATGGAAGTCTTCATGGAGGACCTGACTGTGTTTGGAGTCTCGTTTGATGTATGCCTGTTGAATTTGAAGAGAAACTTGACCCGGTGTGAGGAAAAAGGTTTAATTTTAAATTTGGAGAAATGTCATTTTATGGTACCTTCAGAAATTGTTTTAAGACACGTAATTTCTTCTAAGGGGATAGAGTTTGAAAAATTTAAAATTGAACTAATCTCTAAATTGTCTCACCTAAGACAATGAAGGACTTCAGATAATTCCTAAGTCATGCAGGTTTTTATAGGAGGTTTATACAAAACTTTTCATTCATATCTAGACCGTTGTGTAACTTTCCAAGTAAAGAAGCTACTTTTGAATAGACCTTAGAATGCCAAGAGGCATTTAAAACATTGATAAAAAAAAAAACTCACTTCCACACCTATAATGCAATCACTTGATTGAACATTACATTTTGAAATTATATGTGATGCTAGTGATTATGCAGTATGTGCTGTACTTGTGTAGTATGTGTGATGCTAGTAGAACCCTAAACAATGCTCAAATGAACTATTCCACAACTGAAAAAGAGTTACAAGTTATAGTCTTTGCACTTGATAAGTTTCAATCTTATCTGATTGGCTCTCTTATTACAATTTTCACAGATCATGCAGCCCTCAAGTATCTTCTTACAAAGAAGGATGCTAAGGCGCGTTTAATACGATGGATTTTACTTATGCAGGAGTTTGACATCACCATCAAAGATAAGAAAACAATGGAGAATATTGTAGCAGACCATTTGTCATGGCTGACCTTTGAAGACAATAAAAGTACCTTGCTAATCATAGATGAATTTCTAGATGAGAATTTATTTTCTATTTCTTCTCTGCCATGGTTTGCTTACATTGTAAATTACTTGACTGTAAGTGAAATCCCAAAGGAGTGGAATGCACATGATAAGAGAAAATTCTTGGTTGAGGTACATAATTTCTACTGTGATGATCCATGTTTATTTAAGTATTGCCCCGATCAAATCTTGAGACATTGTATCCCCAATGAAGAGATACCTAGCATACTTATTTCTATCATATCCTAGCATGTGGTGGCCATTTTCTATTAAAAAGATTGTGGCAAAAATTTTGCAATGTGGTTTTTACTAGCCCACGTTGTTTAAAGATACTAAAGCTTATTGTAGATCTTGTGAAAGGTGCCAATAGGTAGGTGTTGTGTCCCGGCATAATATGATGCTTTTAAACCCCATTTTGGTAATAGAAGTATTTGATTGTTGAGAAATTGACTTTATGGGACCCTTTTCCACCTTTTTTTTGTTACCTATATATTATTGTAGCAATAGATTATATGCCTAAATGGGTAGAGGCAGTTGCTTGTAGGGCTAATGACAATAAAATGGTTGTTAAATTTCTTAAAAAAATGTTTTGTGTCGATTTGGCAAACCACATGTTATTATTAGTGATAGAGGCACATACTTTTGCAATCGTTCATTTGAGGCACTAATGAAAAGTATGTGATTATTCATAAAATTTCCATTGATTACCACCCCAAACTAGTGGACAGATAGAATTGGCTAATAGAGAGATTAAGCAAATCTTGGAGAAAATGGTGAACCCCAATCGTAAAGATTGATCTTTAAGGTTAAATTATGCACTTTGGGCTTACCGTACGTCTTTTAAAACCTCTTTAGGCATGTCACCATACAGACTCGTCTTTGGAAAGCCTTGCCATTTACCTGTAGAACTTGAGCACCAAGCCTATTGGGCTATCAAATATTTTAACTTCTATCTAGAAGATGGAGGCAAGCTTAGGAAATTTCAATCGATTGAGTTAGAAGAG